TATATATATATATATTAATAACAATCAGTTCAAATCTAATTGAATATTTATTCCTATTACTATTAGCTTATCGTAATTGCAAATAGATAAGGAAGATACATACAGCTGTTGCAGACTTTTTGTTACGGAACTTATCTAATTATTGAATGACTAGGTTTTTTTTTTATTTTTTATTTATTATTTATTTTTTTAAATTTGAAATTTGAAATTTTGAAATAAAAAAATTGTAAACAGTTAATAATTTTATAAAATATTTATACTAAAATATTATTCTTAAAAAAATTGAATATTAAATATTTCTATTTTAATCTACTAGAAATATAAAGATTTTAAAATATCAAACATTATGCTAAATCTGGATTTATTTATTTTAAATATTAAAAATAAAAATATTATTTAAAAATAAAATAATAATTAAAAAATTTATAATATTGTATCAAAAGTTTCAAATATTACAAATCAAATACTAGAAATGCATTTTATTATATGTATTAGTTATAAATTAAACTCTACATTTTATTACACACAAACCATACATAGTATATTTCCATTTGACTAGCATTAATTATATGTTCACCTAAAATATTTCTAAATAGACATTTAATAAAAATTTTACCTTATTATTACATATATTAATAATTAAAATAATATAATATGGTGATCAAATATACTATTAAATATCTGTATTACACTATAAATGCATTTAGTATATGTATTAGTAATAAATTAAACTCTACATTTTATTACACACAAACCATACATAGTATATTTCCATTTTACTAGCATTAATTAGATGTAGACGCACAAACGAAGCCGGAGTTCGGTGGGAGGGCCAATTTTTTTCAACAAATATATATATTATATGAGAATTGCAAACAATACACCTTCTAACTCACTTTCATTTTCTTTTATCAATTAAAATTTATTGAAATCACGAGATTAGGAGAAATAAATTGAATGTAAAATTTACTAATTCTTTTTTATATTCTTTAATAAATTTCAATTACTTAGAAAGAATGTGTTAAAATAAATGTTAGAAAGTTTGTTATAAACATGTATATGCATTAAATTTTCATTTAACATCCAAATTATCAATTACTACAGTATAAGGTTTCCCTAGTAACGAATACTTCAATTAACTTTGTGTCTTGTTTCTAAGAAAAATATATGATTACAAATAGTAATCGCCAACCAGACATTCATTGACAAATAAATGAAAAATAAAATCTAATCAAGCATTTATTGTATTTAACAAATAGCCTACTTAATTATTAATGATCTAATATAAATGGCTTCCATGCATGAACATATTCGTGCTTTACAGGGTGGCCCTCTTCTGGCTCCATAGTGATTTTAAGTATATAAAAGTGATAAATTTATATTGAAAATGTATTTATTACATTTTAATGCTTTCAACAACATAAATGTTATCAATCTAAAATTTAACATTTTAATTCTTAATTTTTTATTTAATAAAGAAACAATTAAATGAAAATAAATATTTAAAGTATATTAACATAAATGAAAATATAAATACATTTATTATTTTCTTCATTTAATAATTAAGAAAATAAACAAAAAAGTATAATAGAAAATTGAAACTTATTCTTCCTAATTAAACTCCATTAATTTTTTGAATCGTGATATTTTGACTTCAATTTTCATTACGCTTCTTTCGTATCTCTTATGAGGACTTTTAAGGGAAAAAATAGAAGAAAAAAGTAAATAAATTTCTTGTTAAGTTACAAATATTTCTTCTAAAGTTAAAAAAAGAAAATAGTCTTTTGAAAAAATTAATATAATTACTTTTTATAAATTAATTTATGTATATTTCAATTTCAACTTAAAAAAAAATGCTTTTTTTCTTCTCGTGAGAGAATTTATAAAATATCTAAACATACTCGTATTTTTTTTCTTTTACACCAACATACTCTTATTCTTTAAGTAGTACGTAGTATTACATTTGGTTTCTTTCTTTTGCTTTTTTATTTGGCAAGATATTGAATGATCTTAAATGTAATTAAAACGATAAATTGAATTGGGTAAAAATTAACATTAATTCTCTTAAATGATGGACATTATAAATGTTGTCATTAAGTATACTTTGAACCTCGATCAATTTTTTATTTGGACATTTAATTTGACATATGACGACACTATCACTCAATGTCCCGTTTCCCTAAATATACAACTTTGCTTTTGGTCCCGGTTTCCCTAAACTAGACTTACATGTGACTAACTCTCTTTATATAGCACCCTTTGTGTAAGAACAAGAAATGCAACATATAGAGAAAGAGAGAGAAATGGGTAGTGAGGGTGAGAATGAAAGTGAGATAATTCCATGTCTGAAATTTTTGGGGGATTTCAAAGAGGGGAGTGAGGAATGGAAAGAGTTGAGCAAGAAAGTGAGAGAAGCATGTGAAAGGCATGGTTGCTTCATCTTAATTAATGACATGGTTCCAAAGGGTCTACGTGATGATATGTTTCTATGCATGAAAGAGTTGTTTGATTTGCCTGAAGAAACCAAGAGAAAGCACATAAGCCCAAAGGCTTATAGGAGCTACAATTGTGATTGCCCCCTTGTTACTCTCTGTCAAAGCTTTGGGATTGATGATGTTCCAATCTCAGATTCTGCTCATGCCTTCACTAACCTCATGTGGCCTCGAGGAAACCCCTCTTTCTGGTATTTAATTTCTTTTATCATATCATTTATTTATTTTTTTCAATATAGATTATGAATATTTTTCATTAAAAACAATCTTGAATGTCATATATTAGAAGTATATAAGTAGGTTGGGTTGGGTTGAGTTTAGATGAATCTGTTATCCAATCTGATCAAAATTCAACTAATTAGATTGAGTCGAATTTGTATTTTTTTTTTCAAATCCAACTAACCCAACTCGATCATAAATGAATTGGATTTATTTGAATTAATCAGATTAATATAATTAAATTTATTTATTTTTTATAAAAATTTAAATATTTTATAATAAATTTAAATTATTTGATATTTTATTGTAAATACAATGTTATCAACTCATAAAATAAATAATGATACAAACTAAATTTCAAATTTTTTTTTGTTGATTTACTATATTATTATCAGTTTAAACATTCAACATTAAAACAAAATAAAATTTAAAGCAAATATGCTATATTGTTACAATGTTATCAATCTAAAAACACAAAATTTGTTACTGAGTAAGAGTGACAAAGAGTATTATTTTGAGCAAGTGATCATTCAAATATTAACTTATTATTATTATTATTATTATTGTGTTTTATTTATTTTTATTATATATGATCAGGTTAGATTGGATCACAAGTCAAAAAACATAAAATTTGTTACCCAATTTGTATAATGTTAGATTTTAATCGGGTTAGATTGAGTCTAACTCGAACGTTAAAAAATTAAATTTGAACTTACTAGATTAATTTGAATCAGTTTGAATTTGCAAATTATCTCAACTCGCTTACACATACCCTTATGATACATTATTTACTACATTAATTTTTATGTATTGTCGATTTAATTTTCTTATTACATCGTTTATTAATTAAAAATAATCGTACATAACTAACAGTTTGTTTGTGATTGAATAATTATGTTACTGTATGTATTATTTACTGATCTTTATATATATTTTGTATTTGTCATGAATTAGCTACCTTTTTAATAGAATTTTTATTTATTTATTTATTTTTGCATACAATGAGCGTATTGATGTTAGAATTTATGCTTCATGTATATTACTTTAACTCTCACACTGTCATTAACAGATATATGTTGTGGTAATTTACATGACAGTCATATATTCTAATCTTTGTACAATTATATATAACTTAATTACACAATTCCAAATAAAAGTAAAAATTAAATATAGTTAAATAAATATAAAAGAATAATATAAATATACATACACCGAAAACCCATCCACAAAAGCACTTTCACTAAAAGAGAAAAAAGGTTAATTAACCTCTTGTTTGTATTCTGCTAAATGAAGTTTATTTTATCTTATTTTGAAAAAATAATTTTGTACTTTTAGTTTTAAGAGAAAATTACTTTTGAAATATGATTCCTCAATAAAAGGCTTGCACTTTTTTATATAGTTAGATAATTTCATTTTCCATATGAAGAGTTTATGATCTGTACCATGCTCAGGTTGATTGTAAAATTATGTTTGAGATACCAACAGGTAATAGTAATTTTTTTAATTAGTTAATGTTAGGAAATAGTGAGTTACTTGTTATGTTCCCTATTATAATTTTTTTTTAAATATAAATTTCTTAATTAATTTTATTTTATTTAAGAATATTCTCTTTAAAATATTTCTCATTTAATACATCACTTTTTCAGTTACACTACTTCTATTTATATTTATAACAAGAATAATTTAAAATAAATATTATGAAATTAGTAAAATTTAATATAAATAATTAATTTCTTTAATATATGTAAAATTATTTTTTTAACTTATAATAGAAAAAAAAAATTTAATTGGGGTCTGAATCCACTCCTTTTTTCATCACTCTAATTAGTGCATGCAACTCGATGTCCCTCTCCATACCACTGTGGCACCTGTTCACGTCCCAATGTTGGAGTGCCATGAGATTTTTTTTAATTAATTACCTAATAAATATATGCAACTTTAAAAAAATATAAAATAGAGTAAATTATATTCACATTTTATATTATTTTAAAATTATACTTATACACTGCCAGTGTAAATTTTTTATTTTAATTTAATTAAATGAACATATGAAAATGTATTATTAACGTTTTAATTTAATTAAATGAGCAGATGAAAAGACATTATTAACGGTTCTGATTGACTGTTAGTGTAAAAAAACTTTATACTAACAGTGTATAGGTAGCGTTAACGAGTGAAGTTGACGAACCAGGAGTGGTTGAGAATACTTAGACCAGGAGTGTTCGCAACCTGGGTGGTCTATAATACTCACTACGAGCCTGAAGAGGCTG